TCTTTCCCTCTCCCTGCAGCACAGGGTGTCACAGGGAGCAGCCAGCTGCTTTGAGTGGTGCTGCTCCTTGATATAGCGGCAAGCCATGGGCCAGATTAAAAAGACTTTGTGGGCCATATCCAGCCTATGGGCCATATCTTGCCCGTCACTACACAAGAATCTCTGCAAACTGCCGAAAACAATATTTAAGCTCTGTGTATGTGGGCAACTGAACAACAAAAGCTCTGTTATTCAGAGATGTTAAACCTGTCTGCCGCCCAAAAGATAAGTTTTGCCATGACAAATGCCAGTGTGAACAGCATGCTGCTGCATATTCTCCTGCTGACAATGAGAACCCTGCACATTGGGGTGGAACTATTATGCGGGACCAAGAGATTATAAGCTAGCAGCTACACTGCCCAATTTTTAGAGACACAGCTGTGTTGACACGGATGTATCAGTAACAGTTGTGTAATGTAGACAAAGCCTTAGGGTGAGAATTTGATACTCATACTCATGAGCTTACACTTTCCAAATCTCCATGCAGCACAGCACTATATAATTTTGGGTCTATCCTCCAGAGGGGATGTGTGCCTGTAAGGCTGGTTAGTGCCCTACATGCATAGCCTTTCCATGCAGGGGCTGGCATGTTATTACAGCTGGAATTGTCCCTGGGTGCTGATTAAAGTGAGAAACTGGGAAGGTACCTGCAACTTTTCATAGCATTACAGGGTGAGTAGGAACTCAGGCTAGTTGGTCCAAGGGCAAAGTGGTACCCTAGTTCCAGGCAGCACTAGGGATACAATAGTGTAGTCAATTAACCAATAAGCAAAAGCTTATCAGTTAATGCTATAGACTACATGCATTCTCCCTCTCCCCAGCCAGTAAATTTTTTGGCAGGCTGGCTAGCAGCCCATCTCAGTCCTGGCTTGTGCTAGGTCTGGGACCTATCCCTGTTGCGGCTCTATATTTCAAGTGTATTAGGAGTTGGGTGAGCAGGCAGTCCAGCTCTGTTCTGGCTCACGCCAGGTCTGAGAGCTCAGACCCTCCCCAGGATAGGGGCTGCTGCCTCCGTATCAGAGAAACTTTCACTTTCAACTCTTGGTCCTTTTTGGCGTGAGGTTTGAAATATCTTTGCAGGTCTAAACGTGGTCCTTTCTGAAGGCTTCCCCAAGAACTTGAGACAGCTTGAGTGTGGATTGCTCAATGACATCAACTTTCTACAAGCAGTGAAGGGCTTGAAGCTGGGTGATCGAGGCATGCCCTGGCATTTGAGTGGATGAATTTCATTAAGCACAAAGGAATCCAACTTTTCTACACACTGGAAAAGAAAAACCATCAGAAAAATGACTGGAAAGTTAGCCTAGGGCAACAAGATTAGTTCCAAAAATTGTCACTGGCAGTAAGAAGGAACAGATGGGGTACAGGATCCAAAGATAGTCCTTTATATAGAGTTGTCAGAATATTCTCTCTTGGAGATATGAGCTCAGAGTTGCACACACGTAACATTGGACTGGATATGAGCAAGCTTTAAAAGAACATCATGTACTTTCTGTATTAAGAATATCAATGTAAGATCAAATTTTCTTTTGGTGTGTAATTTCTCACCATGCTTGGAAAGAATCATTTCTTAACACTTTCACTGGAACCTTAATTTCTCCCAGGAAGACATCTTGCACCAGATTTCCATTGTTCCATAGGTCAATCCTGAAAGTTAAAAGGATTGTTTTTAAAATGTTCTTGCAAATTATAAGGATAAAAACCATGAGTGGATTTCATCCACAACCTCGCATCACTAGTTCAGCATGCATGCAGAGAGGAAATATTAGAATTGTCATACCAATCTAATAAAATCAAGAGGAACTCAAATAGCTTATTAAATCCACACAAGGCAGTCATGGAAACAAATTTAGACAGTGAAAGTTAGATATCACAGACTTTACATCAGTAAAACATAGTGATACTGGTTGATGCATTTTCTATTTTGAACAAAATAACTGCATTTCCTTTTCAGGTATTTGCAGTGAGCTTTTACCACTGTACCTATATCCCTATTTTACTGCTGATAGTAAAGATTGGACAGGCTGCAATATCACACTGACACATGCGCTTATTTTTTTAAACAAGAGCCTGAATGTTCAAAACCTAAAGAGCTATCACTCCAAAAACATGCACCTGGTTTGGATTCTATTACTTCTTACCTCTGACTTTTCTGTTAAACAGCAGATATGTTAAGAAGAAGAAAAAAATTAATGCTAGAGTTGTTGGGGCATAATTACTTTTCTACATATATTTGTATCTATAATCCTGCAAACAGTACAAATTGATGGGTCACATAAGCAAGGACAGAAATGAGTGAGAAGTCAGTACTTCAATGATAATTCAAATTTACTTTTTTGGTGCCAATTATGAAACAGTCACCAGCACTCAAGTTGTGCCCTCAGTTCCTCTCTGAGGTCAAGCACATATATATGCAAAGCTGATGAGACTATAGTGGAGATACTCTGAAGCACTGTTTGTGCAATACAAATGCAGGCAAACTCTCTTAAAATATGCAGGAGCAGAAAGAGGAAATATGCTGCAAGGTGCTCCTTACATCTGCCGGGGCAAAGTATTATATGTATTCTGCCAAACATGCTGCTAGATACTAGCAGTCACATAGGAGAGGCTGACTATACCCCTGCAGTGCCACTGGATAGGCTAGATGCCATGCTTTTCTTGAATTCTTGGTGCTAGTGTCAGGATTCTGATTTTTTCTAACACGTTGCGAGTTAGGGGCTCTTTGTACCAGCACAGGGTATCCTGAGTTTAGTTCCAAAATCTATCTAATACAGCAAAACCACAATTTATGAAATAATCAGCACTGAGGAGAGAGCAAAATATTAATAAAACATCTAAAAAAATCCACAGCATGTACAGTGTACAAGTTGCAGTACAATGCATTGCATTATTTTCTTTTTTTCTTCAAATACCTGCAAAGTGATTTTCAATGTACTGAGAGCATCAGAATGTGAGAGGCTATACACCCGTTCTCCACTAACATCGCTTTTGTTATGGAATTCAACCCCTCTCCCAACTAGGAAAAAACAATACATGCAAATGATTGCAAATAAGACTGGTGTTCCTAAACAGGAGGTTCTGCTGTACTGTACTAAGAAAATGATCTAGGTTCTGAAAAAATGGGATTTTGTTTTCATTGATATTAATAAATATTGCACATGTGCCAGGTAATTAATATTAAGAAAACATACAACTTTCCATTAGCTAAGCTATCTTAAAGTTTGAAAAAAAATATTTTCGTTACGTTAATAATTTTGTCAGATACAACTGATCACAATTTCACTTTTAGAATCAAAACAAGTTTACCGAGGATTTTATTTCTGAAATTGAAAGAATCTTTGTAAACTGGAGCACTAGTTTTTTGCAGTCACGTTATGCCATAATGCTTATTTGAATTAGGGATGTAAAAATGTTTAAAAAACACAACCACCTGCACAACACTAACCATGTAAGCTTTTGAATTTCAATTAATGACATGGTTAAATGCTCTGTGGGCTGCTGGACCCGCAGGCTCCTGCCAATGGCAGGTCTTTAACTGTTAAGGTTAACTGATAATCGGTTAAACTGTAACATCCCTAATTTGAATATAAAGATTTTAAATGTACAGGAGTGTCCCTATCATCCGACCTAAACGGGATCGACACATGGTCGGATTACCAAATGTGTCGGATGATATGGACTCTACTGTAGGTGGGCTGCTGGACCCGCAGGCTCCTGCCAATGGCAGGTCTTTAACTGTTAAGGTTAACTGATAATCGGTTAAACTGTAACATCCCTAATTTGAATATAAAGATTTTAAATGTACAGGAGTGTCCCTATCATCCGACCTAAACGGGATCGACACATGGTCGGATTACCAAATGTGTCGGATGATATGGACTCTACTGTAGAGTGCAACTGCTGCCGCTCCTGCCAGGACGCTCACAAGAAGCCGATGCACGCTGCGCCTGCCGCTCCTGCCAGGGACGAAGGCTTCCAGGCAGGAGCGGCAGCAGCTGCTCCTAGAGAGCGACAGGGAAGCAAGCAGGGCTGTTCTCCCGGCCCACGCTGTATCCGACCCTGCTGCTTCTGGGGACAAAGTCCCCGGGAGCTGCAGGGTCGGATAAAGTGGAGTGTTGGATTACCGGGTGTCGGTTAATCTGGACTCCACTGTACTTCATACAAACTGATATTCACTATATAACCTCAAGAACATACCTGAGTTCCAGTTTCTCTATGTCCTCCTCTTCTACCTGAAACTGGGATTTTTTGGTATAGCTACTGGACCTGGTTACCTGCAAGTAAAAGCCCTCAATTATTTTTCTCTTTCGGTCTTGTTTTTAAATTACAAATCTTCCATATCTACTGTAAAATCTTTGCTTTTTAATGTCATATTGGTCCTGAAAGCAAAGTTCTGAAAGTTTCAGAGTATTACTGATGCACCACAAACTGATATACACTGAGGAGATGAGCACTGAAAGCCCACTTTATCCTTCCCCACATCACACAAGTTTAACTGCATATTTTAGTATCTTCTACTTCCAGACTGAATTCTATTTACTGCATTCCCAGATAGATCAGGTAAACTACATTGTATCCTAAAACATAACATTATTTAATTGCTTTGTAACCACTTTGTCTTAGTTTCCATGTTCTACCATGTGAAATCCCAGATTAAATTTTCTGTGAACAAAAATGTTGCAACAATCTATAGGCCTGATTCTGTAAATACTCCAATCATCCAATCTTATTGCAATCAATGGGAGTTTCAAAAGCAGGGTTCTCATAGGATCAGAATGTACATATAAGGATGTAAGCAAGTAGTTGACTGTAGTATCGACTGCTCTCTCCTCCCCACCCTCCGCTGCCTCTGAGCTGGTGCTGGGGGGAACTGGCTCAAAACCCAGTTCCCTGCAGCACAGTCTCCATAGTATCACCTCCCCTGTGCCCCTGCTGCCTCCATCAGCGTGTAGAGGCTTGCTGTAGGCAGAAGCTGCTCTGGCAGCAGCCTGTCTGTGGGGGTCCCAGCGGGGAGCTGGCCCCCCCTGTGGACAGGGGCTAATGCCGCCAAGCAGACCCTGTTTGCAGTGCCCCAGGCTGGTCGCAGGCAGGAGCTAGTCTAGGATGCTGCACCTCTACATTTTAAATGTAGTAAGAGCCTAGTGGCTCTTACTACATTTAAAATGTAGAGGTGCAGTGGGGTGGCTCCTGGAGCTGGCACAAGCTGGGACAGCTCAGTCCCAGTTTGAGCAGGCTCCTGGAGCTACCCCCACTGTGGCAAATTGTATCGACTACACGATTAGTTAGAGAACTGCAATTTAGCATCCTTATTAAAAGCAAAGCATTACATTCCATAATGTTGTCATAGCATTGACTTTAAAAGTTCTTCAATACTTTCATATAGCTTGGTAAACTTAAAAATACGGGATATATATTTCACTGGTTATTTATTTTTCACAATATAAAATTAAAAGCAGAACACAAAGATGAAAAACAAATATAATGGAACCACCATCTTAAAAGGGCCAAATTCTAGACCCCTGTACTGAAGGCCAAGCAAGCCAAGCTCGGCATAAGAATTCTGCAATGGCCAGAGGATGAATATCCATCAGTGCATATTCTTTAGCTGATCTCAAAACTGAGCGAGCGAGCAGAGGAAACCTCCACAGATTGATTACCCTGCTAAATTACTGTACTGATTATACACAGACAAAATGTTGTTTTTGCTAAATGCTCTGAAGGATGTTCAAATTAAAGGCTGCATGTTTTCATACTTCAGTCCGTATCAGAACCACTACTGATAGCAGTAAGTTCAGGGCAATAAATAGCCCTCACATTTGTTGTTATGAAACTAGCACTTCTCACTAGACAGTAGTTGAATGGGACTACTGTTGTCTTTCAGCCTGTGTTACAAATAAAGATGACAATTTTTCTGGATAAATTTGTGTTTACTTCAATAGAAACTCTTGTGGCTAGCTCAAAAAAGAGAGGCACATGAGAAACAGGCAGGCAATACAACACAGGACTTAATGAGATTAAACAGAGAAATTAGTTACCTCAAAATAAAATGTTTCATTAAACTGTGGATTGCTCGTTTTCTTCTTTACCTTTGTTTTCTTTTGGTCATTCCTGTTTCAATTAAGTACAGTTTTATCATATAGAATTTAAACACAATTATTGAAACATTCAGTTGCAAAGAAAGGGCCATCCATTTACTCTCAGGTCCCGATCCTAAAGCATATTTAGGTGCCTAACTCCCATTCATTTCAATAGAAGATGAGCCCCTAAATACTTTTGAGATCTGTAGATACTCTGGAGAATTATGTAAGTAGTGCTATCATTACTAATGACACTTGATATAATGGAAAAATATTGATGAGAAAAACTTAATCTACATTCACAGCGTGATCTGGAAAGTTAAATGGTGCTCTTAAAAACTCTACATATTGACGTGGACATGTGCACCTGGGAGGTGGTCCTAGTTAGCTTACTATTTATATTTTAGCTCACAAACAAGTGCCATATGAAATGGATAGAGTTTAATGCATTTAATATTTGGTATGGACTGTACTCCTGAACAACATTTTTTTTGTGCACTTGTCTCTATATACACAGTGCTAATTGTTCTTCTCTACCCCATCCTTCTTGCTCCACTCCCATTTTCTACTTTTCTTTAAGCAGTAGTGTACAGTATTACTATAACTACATAAAATTGCCTCCTTTCTTCCCAGAGACTCAACATGTCACTTTCAAGTCACTTCTAAACTAAGGCAGACAGACAGAAAATCACTTTAAATACTTAAAGTAAGTAAGAGTTCTATTGATTTCTCATCCCACCTAACAATTCCTGCTCAATACCATGCCTTGTGAGAAGCACAGCAAAAATGAAAACTATTTCTTTTTGTTTTTAAATAGGATTTTGTATCCATACATAGTTTACCGCTGTTTCTACACTAACACAAGATTGTGGAGAACACCTGGAGTATATAGTAAGAAACATGTAGGGTGGGGAGGAGGGAAATAAAGACTGTTCTCTTCAACACTAAAATCCATGCATCCAATTAATCATTTAATAACTATTGTATATATTTGAACACTTAAGTCCAGAGGACATATTTGCTACTCCTAATTTGGGACAACACTTACAAATGTTTGCTATGTAATGCAACAAATGTTACCTAGAAGGACCCACAAGAGACACCGTTGCATAAGGGTCACAATTCTGTCCATTTACAAGGGGCAACCCATGACATTCCTTTATGCTAAAATGAAAAGGAGAAACAAAGAGTTAGTGAATTAATCTATCATTAATAATTTGACAAATCTGAAAAAATATTTCTTTCCTTTTAAAGCAAAAAGGACATTTTAAAATGAAACCAATGAAGAGTTAACATGAGCCAGTATGACAGCAATTTTTAATGCATTTGAAGCATATTGGATTCCACGTGGATGTACATATTCACATTACATATAAAAACAACAAGCTGGCTCCCCCAGAAGTGTATCCAATCCACAGTTTTCTGGGCATAACTTAATGCAAGATGATAACTAGGTGAAAATTAGTCTGAAGAGAGTTAGTGGGTTTTGAGGAACCTGGGAAGTGATTAGTTACCACAAAAGTACTGAAATACCAGTCATTTGTTTAGGACGGACGGACGGACACACACACACGGAAGTGACACACAGAAAGTTTCTGTGAATGAGAAGACTGTTGACTTTCAAGTAATTTGTTAATTTGACTTAAGGATAAGAGGACTTGCTAGTAGACCTCATTTATACTGGGTCAGCAGCAGAGCTCAGAAGGCATCCAAATGGAGTTCAAACATTGTTACTAATTTGGGTTGGCTGATCAATGCAGCAGGGTAAAATTGTGCTGGATTCCTATTTTAAAGTGAATATTCATAAGTTACAAATACATTTGTAACATGGTTTGTATGCATCTGTTCTAGTGGCCAGATCAGAGAAATCTGATTACCTGAAAGAAATTAAATGATTTCTATGACAGTGAAGATTTAACAGTAGATTGGGATCGCCTGCTGAAATAAAGCACCACATATTTTAGATTAGTGCCTTAAAATCACAAAGACATTGGGCCAGATCTTCAAATAGTCATGACCCCCAGATAAGTACAAAAGGAACTGCTGTGATTATCTAGTTTAACCTTCTGATTTAATTCATGTTTGAACTAGAGGATCTCTTTTCTAAAAGATCCAGTCAATTTAAAAATTCACTGTGATGGAGAATCCACCACATGCCTTGGTAAATTGGTCTGTAACCGGAAAAACTTAAACAATAAATAGACTAGTAGCACCTTAAAGACTAACAAAACATATAGATGGTGGTATGAGCTTTTGTGAGCAAAACCCACTTCTTCAGATGACAGGAGTATTAGAAGTCCAGATCCAAGAATAAATAAATGAAGGGGGAAGAAAAAAAAACCCTTGTTTAAGTTTTACTTGTATTCTCAAAGATAGGATAAACTGACACCTCTTCCCAGGTGTTAAAGTTGACTGTTTCACCCATCCAGTGGCCATTCTTTGGCAATGAAGGGGAGAAAGAACTCATCAATCCGCATTTTAGCAAACAACAATCAGGAACATCTTTCACAGTGAGACTCCATGTCTATGTCTACACAATGTTCCTGGAGTCAGAGAAGTTGGACCAGGGCTGAAGCTATTCATAGGCACTCAGGTTGTGACCTACAAACTCTCTGGTTATCAGAGCAGCCCAAGTTTTAAGTGACAACAGCAAAATACTGTAAAGCACCCAAAGTTGGGGGGCAAGTGGTGATTATGCCTCACTGGTCTGGATTGCATGGCAGAACATTACAACTTGTTTCTGCCTTGATATTTAAATTTCTAAATGTTCTGAAAGCATTAAATTCTAGGACTGCTCTTACTCACTTATCCATTATTCCCACCATAATTTGGTTCCAGGAAGAGTAAACAAGGATTAAGCTATATGTGAAAAAGCTGTGAACAGCAAAGAATTTTTTGAAAACTTTTTGCAACAGAATTCCCAATAGAAGTACATTTAAGCGTTTGCTCTTTAAGGCAGAATTTTCTAAGCCACGGAACATTAAGGCAGACATACTAATTGAGACTCAGTATCCAGGACCAGTCCTTGGAACTTAAAGCCCATTTTTCCCAAACTCTAAATTTGTGAATTTGAAAAGGTTAATTCACCTTTCACTTTAGAATATTTTGAGCCCACTTCACTATAAAGGCAACAATTATTCACAAAACATTAAAATGAAAATTATAGTGGAAAAGCACATCATTCCTCTTCTTCATGTGTAAGAAATTTTTAGTTACTTCATAAAATTAAGGGACAAGGTTTCCTATTACATGCTAACTAGAATTATTTCTATGGACAGGAGTGAGGCTTCCCATTGCTTTTTTTGGTCATCTGTTTACTATGGTCTCAAACATCACATGTTCTACAAGTTTGGGAAACTGACAATAAAAATGCATTTATTATTTTAAGACTGCCAGCAGGTTTGGCAGAGCATTAACAAATGTGTCAAATTTTCAAGGTACTTGCCCCCTTTGCAGAATCTCAGATGAAAGCAAACAAATGCTGACGTAACACTAGAATGTTTAACGCACTAGTTTTTAACCACACGTTGGTCACTAGATAACTGCAGCAACCACGAGAGAACCCCCAATTTCCTTTTAGATCATTTCTCTCTCAAAGAGATCTGAGAAGGTGGTGCAGTGCCTACCCACTTCCTATTGACAATTACACTCTGCAACAGTAACTTTCTAAAGCAATTTTTCCATCATAAAAGTAAAAATAAATGAAGACAATTTTAAATGTGAAAACATCTTAAAAATAAATAATTATGTACTGTTAAAGTGTGCAGATATAAAAATCAAGTGTAAAAACTGCCTGTGCAAAGTTAAGATTGTAAATAAAGTACAAAATGTTAAGAAATTCCAAACATTCAGCTTTTGCTTTTTGCTGAATCCATGTGGGAAAAGATATCCTACTTCTCCCTCATATGCAGATGTTCATATTCTAAGAAGGGGCACTAAAAAGGGGGCAGCAAGACATTGATCAGACTTTCTGCTAGTATGCTTAACTTATACCTAGACTCTTTTAGCCTAAAAAGAAACCACTGATACATTCCCAGTCTGACTTGCTTACTTTTGGGTCAAAAAATAATGGAGCAAAATTAGTGACAACTTAACAGAGCACTGGGAGAGTCAGATTCCTTTTCCTGCGCTTCAACTAAATTCAGATTGTATAGCTGCACTTCTTTTGTTCTTTATTATTTATAAACCAAGATTTCTTTAAAGGCAATTCAGATAGTCTCATTGCCCCTCAGGGTTTTTGCCTTACCCCTTTTCTCTAGGGCTTCACTGTCCTCCCTGCTGATGCTTTCCCTCCATCCCTGATCTTGCTGTCAGCAAGGCCTTTCACCTGACCAGTGTGGAGATTACCCCTTCCACATGCTTCCCCAATTCTTGGTCTCTCCACCTGGTCTCCTTCATGAAAGACAGGCAGCCTCAAATGCAATTTCATAGAGGGCATATAACTAGGAAAAAGCATGTGACAAACTAGAGTTCCCAGGTTTTAAAGGCTTACTGATACACAGAATCCTGCAAATCCATGGATATCTACTTGAGGGTATCTGCCTGTGTGGATGAAGATCGCTGTGGCTCTTTTTGGGAATACAGATGCAGATACAAATTCTGTATCCACACAGGGATCTACTCATATGCCCCACACCCAGGGCCTACTTTTAAATGGCATGCATAACAGCATGGCAAAATATACAAAAAAGTGACTGCAAACATACAGTAGCCTGGCTTTCCACAATTTTATTTAGTAGTTTAGAATTATAAATTTGTGGATTCACAGGATATCACAGCTCCTTTATACAGATTGAAGGAAACAAGAGCACCAATAATGAATTCAATCAGGTGACAATATCCAAAAGCACTTCAAATCCTAAAAAGCATATCTGAAATCTGAAAAAATAAGAATATTCAAAGTGTCAAGATTCTATCCTTTAGGGGTTTCACATCCGGACACTGATTGACATATAATAAAGAGCCAATTAAGTAGTAACTCTAGCTTTCTTAATTCAGAGACAAGTGAAGTGTTCATGCCAAAAGCAGACACAAATAAAACCTTAGTACTACTAACTCTCAGCCACTCAAAAGATTATATGGCAAGATCTAACAATGGCCAGAAGTAAAGGACTGTTCCTCCTCTGGCAATACTGATAGATTGAAACGAGTAAGCTAGCTCCCTGTTTCCTTAAAACTCACTAGTGATAGATGGACAAAAGAGCAAGTGGACATAAATCTACTTCCTAAAAGCATGTTTAAAGGAGACTGATCCTGTATCTCCAAACTTGGTCCCCAGAAGGCAAAAGAAAGGCTCACAGTCTTTTATACCTCCAAAAGACAAAAGGAAAGTAAGGTAAATTACACATTTGCTATTTTCATAGAGACATTTCATTAGGATCTTTTGGTTTTGAGGTAAATCCTCAACACCAAGCAATCCTTATTTAAATGGGAACTAAAATACATGATTTTGTGCACATCTTTACCTGCAGAAAGCCAGATTATAGCGGACTATATTGCTTTTTGAAGATAAATTTGTAAGTAGTGCTGGGGAGAAAAACTGGGAAACAATCAATAGATGCATACTGAATGTTGATCCCTTGTAACAGAAACACCTTTAAACTGTGCATTTATATTCTCCTTTGATGATATGTTTTCTAAATTATTTAGTGCTATTATAAGTAGAGCTACTAGTGACAGCTAAAGTTAATACTTCCCCTTATAGACCCATTTTTCAATTGCTTATAACTTTGCCAATCTGTTTGGGTGGACATCTTTTGTGTTTGCTCTCTGCCTCAGGCTGAGTTTTCTTTACTAAATGTTTCAGTGAAAACTGTTATGCCAGGGGTTCTCAAACTTTGTGATACCACGATCCCACTCTAAGTTGCTCATGACCCCCCAGGGGGGTCGGGACCCACAGTTTGAGAAACACGGTGTTAAGCAATTCTGGAGAATACATTTTGCAAAGCTATTTTTATCTATATTAACATTTATTATAAAAACAATAGTGCCATCAATGCTTCAGACCAGAAACGTAAGTTTAGCATATAGACATTTCTGGTGACAAAGGTATATTTTGCAGTCACAACAATCTATCCAAATTTGGCAGCTGTCTCTGAAAATGGCAACTCACATATGCTCGGTTTTTGGAGACCTACTGCTAAACTTCAGAATATGCCAACTCTCCTGAGCATGCTCTAAATGACAGTTACACCTCTACATGGGGATGAAACAGCAGTCACTGCTATTTCTCCTTTCATGTCAAGGTAACAAGACAGGAAGCCATCAAATTCTAGTCACTCTGTTCTTATACCCGAGTTAATTCTGTGCACTTCCCAGATATTATTAAGCGAAGTCTTAAACCCTTAAGTTATTGATTTCTACACTGAAAATGCCACACCAACATCACTGTAGTGCTTTGGGCTAAATACTACCTAGACCACCAGGAGTTCTCCCATCAGCACAGATTATCCTTCACCTCTCAGGTACGTAGGCAGGTCAACAGAAAACTTCATTAACATAGCACTGTCTACACCAGAGGACAGGTTGACATAGCTATTTCCCTCAATGACATGGATTTCCATACTACAGAGAGATGTAGCTATACCTAGTGTAGGCCAGGGATGCAAGAGAGTAATCATTTAAATGGGCAGCTAATAACTAAGAGCTCAGCAGTTACCCAAACGATTAATGCACAGTGGTTCCTGGGGAGCTGACTGCCACCCTGTGCTGCTGTCTCTGTATCAGAGATAGCAGCTGGCTACCCGGAAGCAGGGCAGCTGGTGAGAGAAGCTGCTCCTGGGCAGCTGGATCCTTGGGAATGGGGCCAGCAGCTGGGAGTGCACTGCCAGTCCCATTGCTGGGGAGCCAGGTAATCATGGAACCACTACAATTTTCAGCAACTATACAGTTACAATAAACAACTGTTTCTTAACATGCCTAGTGCAGGCCAGCCCATATGAAGAACACAGATCTTCTTTATTCTAATGAATGCTATTCAGAGTTATTTCTAACAGAGCTCAAGCATGGCCCATCCTACCCAGACTGCCTTTCAGAACGTGCGCACCAAATTTAGGTCTCTGCTCTGTTACCTAACTAAACACTGGACCATATTGCTCTTCAGAATAATACAAAGCCAGACAAAGATTTTTAACACTTTTGGTACCTAACAACTAGCTCTTTAAACTACTTGCAAAAAGTAGCACCTAGTGGAACTTGTGGTGGGTCCACACAGAGACCAATAGTTCTCTCCTCCCAGTTACTCCATTAGCTCATGTGGTAGAAGTGTATGCTATGTATCTAATGGTGGTAGGTTCCACACTTGCCAGTGACACATGCAAGGGTTAATGTGGTTCCACATGAAGGAGTTGGTTTTTTTCTTACTTTGCTTTTTTTTAATCCAGGAGATTACACAGAAAAATGTGTCATGAAAACATTAAGGTTTTGTGAAGTTAAGCAATCATAAGACAGGAAAGTCCAGAATTATGCTTACATGCATAGCCTTAATTCAGCCTAGTCACGTATATCCAAACACCACAGTAAGGATGTTAAAATTAGATTAACTAATCAAATAGTTGATGGAATTTCCATTGACTGCTCAATTAGTTGATAAGGATGCTTCCGCTTTGAAATGTAGCAAGAGCCTGCTGGGCTGTTGCAACATTTCAAAGGCGGAAGTGCCGTGCAGAGTTCGCCTTTTCAATGTACAGGAGCCCCAGCAGCAGCTCTTATGCATTTTAAAGATTGAAACGCTGCATGGAGCCTGGGGCCAGTCACCTGCTGTCCCCAGGCTCCATGCCGCACTGCTGCTTTGAAGTGAACAAGAGCCCTAGTGGGGACTCTTGAACACTGCCGTTGTGCCCCAGTCCCCCTCTCACTGAGATAGAGGGGAAACAGCTTTTAAACCACTTCCTTCCAGAACCCTCTCCTCTTCCCTCTCCCCCTTGCTGCCTCTTTCCATCAGAGGAAGCAAGGGGAGAAGCGAGTAGTCAGTAAGTCACTTCCATCCCTACAACACAGTCTTTAGTTACATGATCCCATATCATTTCTGATTTCACATAGCATGCACAGTGAATGAGGCAGAGGGTTGGAAACAGCTTTTAAACCACTTCCTTCCAGAACCCTCTCCTCTTCCCTCTCCCCCTTGCTGCCTCTTTCCATCAGAGGAAGCAAGGGGAGAAGCGAGTAGTCAGTAAGTCACTTCCATCCCTACAACACAGTCTTTAGTTACATGATCCCATATCATTTCTGATTTCACATAGCATGCACAGTGAATGAGGCAGAGGGTTGCAAGTAGGGAAGGGAGGTTCTCTTGTGTTTGAAGGACTAGACTGAGAACCAAGGTAGCCAAGTTCTATCCTTGGCTCTACAGAAATCTTCTATAATGCTGTGCAAGTGCATCCTTCATTATGTATGCATTAAGGAGCCAGATTAACGCAACCCTAAAACTGGCATCTGCAACTTGGGCCCCCGACACTGCAATATAAGCTTTCTTTGAATATTATATACAAAACATTATAAACTAAAGGCTTCCAAGAGACAGCAGGATCTAGCAATTATGGCACTGGACCAGTTGCCAAATGACTTGGATTCTATTTAGCTTCACCACTGAGTTGCTGCACGACATTAGACAAACCACTTCTTTTTATACCTGTTTCCCCTGATGGAAATTGTGTTTACCTACACCTGCCTTTGTAAAGCACTGAGATATGCAAATGAAAAGCACTCATCCAAGAGATATCAAGATTTGTTCTGTTTTAAGTTCAGGTTACATCATAATGACAAACTGAAGCACCTATATCTTTATCCAACTGGTTGATCAGATCACAACCATTTTAAAAAATATATTCAATAAATGTACAAGGTAAGACAATCCACACTATCCTCACTTCCTTACTTAAATCTGAAATTTGCTGTCAACCTCTCTCGCATTTTCATCACACTGCTTCAGTCCATCTGGCATGGCTATATATTAACTACAGCATCGTCAATTAAATCTTCATATAATTTTTTTCATTTTGACTTTTGAAATATGTATTAGTGTACTCAATATTCCAATTCCCCCCCCCCCATTTTATTGGGAGAGCCAAGACACGGAGGAAGAAGAACAACTAAGCTGTAACAGTAGCTATTAGGGATCTGAATGTGCATCCATATACACCAGTAGTCACCAGCCTGTAGATTGGATCTCCTGGTAGATCTTGGAGCCTCTGACAGGTGATCCTGACTGGTTTGGCCAAGAGGCTCTCAAGTGCCAGCACTTCAGCTGCCCCTCCCTGCACTGCTGCACACTTTCTGCCCTTTGCCTCCGAGCTGTTCCTCCCCGAGAGCCTCCTGCTCACGATACAGAGCAGGGAAGGGGGCGCAGATGTCAGGGTGCCCCCTCTCGCACCTTGTATTCAATCTTCAAAGAAACGGGGGCGGGGAACAGCACAACAGGGCTTGGGATAGAAGGAGTTTGTTGGCTGCTTTTGGGAGTGGTGCAGGGTCAGGGCAGGGGTGAGCATGCCTCAGCCCCGCTGTACCACCACTCAAGAGCCACCTGAGGTAATCAGTGTCCAGCTGGAGACAGTTCTGAATCCCTGCCCCAGTCATGAACCCCATCCTACACCCCAAACCCCTGAGGCCCCTGGTTCCAAACTTCCTTACAGAGCTTGTACCCTGAACCCCTTCCTGCACCCCAACTCTGTCCCAGGCTCAGCTCAGAGCCTCTCACACTCCAAATCCCTTAGCCCAAGACTGGAGCCTACACCCCAACTCTTTGCCTCACCCTGGTGAAAGTGAGGAAGGATGGGGGAGGGAGGACGGAGTGAGCAGAGGTGGGGCCTCGGAGACGAGGCACGAGTATTTGGGTTTGAGGTAGATCTGGGATTGCACTTAAATTCAAAAAGTGATCTTGTGCTTTAAAAGATTGGAGACCACTGGTATACACAGTTAACTCAGGAGCCTGGGCTCATCAGTTAACCCTCATGGTTATATCCCCCCTCCCCCCCATTGCCTCCCTCTCAGAGACAGCAAGGGGAGCAGGTGGAAGCCGGTTTGAAAGCTGGCCCCCCATGTGTACTAGCTTCCACTGAGCTGAGTGTCCCCCCACTCCCACCTGTGCCTCTGTAGAATAGCCATGTAGCTGTCTGAGCACCAAGAATCTCCTCTCTTACTATATTTCAGAGCTGAGGGTCCAGCCCAAGCTTGAATATCTACACTGCCATTCTTTGTTCCACAAGCCCTAGTAAGATGACCCAGTCTGAGACTTGTGGTGGCATGGATTTTGTTTTCTGCTATGTAGTTGTACTTAAAGTCAACCAGATGTAATGGGTTAAGTAGAGAAGCGATATTTTGAAATGTTCCCACCAATGCCATCAGTTCAGCTCTGTCAATGGTATCAATGTTTGAAGTCCTAGCTGCTGGTTACCATTGACACGTTTAGTTGTCAACCAGACCGGCTTTGAACAGGATTAGAAGACACTCCTTAGGCACCAGCACCCAGCTTATATTAGGGATCCTAACGTGGGTGACTCGTATACACCTTTTTAAAAAAAATCTGAAAATTTTTTGTAAAATCTCCCCAGTGTACATATGGCCCATAAAACTAGGCAAATTACAACACAACTTTTATCAGTAAAAAAAAAATCAAGCTCCTTTTAGTGATTGATAAATTTTCTTACTGTACTACTAGTTGCTGGCACACAGATCCATTATCCGTTATCAGTTCATTCAATTTTAATTCAAGGTGAACTTTTCCCTGCAAAAAAAAATAAAAATACCACATGTAAATATTTGAGAGACAGTTTATTTTTAAAGTAGTAATAGCACATAGGAAGTAACTTGCACATGTTTTCAAATTAATTATCCCTCTATGTAAGACAGAGATATAGAACTAACAAAAAAAAAAAAATCACATTAGACATGCTAGGAGAAAATGGAGGTAATTGATGGCATACTAATGCTAAGTGGAATATTTTTGGATAAGGAGCTCACTCCTGCTCCCACTGACTTTAAATCAACTCATTATCAATCTTGCTAGAGATAACTAGTAATTTAAGGCCCATCCTGCTGCTCTCACTGAGCTAGCAAAAATGAGATAAGCAAATCTTGATATGCAATACCTGACTAAACAGTTTAACAACCAGCAATATGGGACTCTAGAACCTTCACTGTTGCCCGTTCTAATCAGGCTTAGGCAAATGAAAGCTGCCAGAAACATTTGTGAGTGAAAACCGAGAAATTGATTAACATGGTTTATTACATAGCATGTTGCTAGTGCTGTGTAAGTGCTTTCAAGACTGCAGGAAAACCATAAAGCACACCATCAGGGGCTCTTCTTACTGCACATGAAATTAACGTGATATATGCCATCAAGTGCCAGCAATGGCCCTCTGCCATGTATATTGGCCAAACCAGACAGTCTCTCCACCAAAGGATAAATGGACACAAATCAGACATCAGGAAAGGTAACACACAAGCCTATAGTGGAACACTAACCTCTCTGGACATTCAGTAATGAATTTGCAAATAATCATTCTTCTACAAAAAGATTTCAAAAATCTAATTACTAAGGGAAACAGCTGAACTGGAATTCATTTGCAAATTCAACACAATCAACATAGGACTGAATAAGGATCTTAACTGGTTAATGCATTATAAACCACATTGTCCCCTCTTTTGATATTCACATCTCTATACCAAATGCTGTCAATGACCCACTTCAAACCTGACTTGATAAGCCTCATTAACACAATATACACACACACACACACACACACACACACCCACACCACCTCTAACTTGCACTCTTATCTGATGAAGTGGGTTTTACCCAGGAAAGCTTATGCCCTAATAAATATCAGGGATGTTAAATATTGAGTAATTGACTAATCAAATAATCAATGCATTTTGCAACAACTATTCAATTAGTCAATAGGGCTCCTCCACCTTTGAAGTGTAGCAATAGCCCTATGGCTCCCTATGGTGTTTCAGAGCCCAGGGTCAGCTAGGGACTAGGGATGTAATAGTGTAGTCGATTAACTGATTAGCAAAGACTACGTGCATTTCCCTCCCGTCCTCCCCCACCCCCACACACCTTGCTAGTAAGTTTTTCAGCAGGCTGACCAGCAGTCCAGCTCAGTCCTGGCTTGCGAGGAGTCTAGAACCCTCTGACAGACCCCAGACAACATGTATCCCAGAGTCACTACCCTCTGGGACAGAAGAGTATTGATTACCATGGCTACTTGGGTCACAATAGCTCCCACTGTAAATTTCCTCACCCCAAACGGATTCCCAATTGACCAGGTAGTTGTCTGTCATTGCAAGCTCCAACAGGGCAATTGCCACTCACTTCTCCACTGTCAGGGAGGGTCTCATTCATGGTCATGAGACTTCAGAGATGGACTGAAATTTCCATGAGCAGAATCTAGGAAATCTACACAAATCTATAGGGCACTCCTGCAAAGCTGTGAAGTTTCCCGATGCCAAGGATACTGCTTTATCCAGGGTCAAGAAAGATCCCCTGATGTTAACATGAGTTATTGACGTTACTCAGCCCCTGGATCTGCCTCCTCCTGATATTCCCCCATTGGCCATCTGACCAGAAATGCCCCTTGGGAAGGAGATCTCTTGCTCTCTCAAATGGCGGAAACTGGCTCCTCAATGCCTATGAAGGTGAGCCCCAATATTCTCTACAGGATTATGGGGGCACAATGTACGGGTAGAGATGACTCACTGGTTGTTGGCTAGACCAGTGCCATTCTAGCTAGGGCTCATAGGAAAAACCTGTAGAGGTCTCAGTAACGCTCACTACAGATCTTAGTTGGCAGGGAGGATGCTCTTTGCTAGATGAAGGGTAGAACACACGAAGTGAAGGTCAGAAGAACCCTAGGAGCAATGAGAGATGCACTGATATGTGGACAACAGACCTGGTCTGCTGGAGTCTGGGGTTAATGCTATGAGGATAAGCAGCATTGGTGAAGTCTGTTGTGTCTCAGTCTGCTTCTTCTCTTCACCCAGCAGCATGTAAGGCTGTTCTCCAGAAGCTGTCTCTGCACCTATGGGAGGACACTGAGCTCCTTGAATTTCTGACTCATTTCAGAGAGGTCCCTTTTATTGCTTGATTTTGAAACCAGAGGCAGAGATGCTAGCTTAATCAAAACCGGGGTTTATTTTGGCGCCGGTGCCAGGTCTTTTACTGGCCCTATCTTCTTTGCAATCATCTTAGACACTGTCAGTCTGCTTAGTATATGGTGGCTTGTCCATTAGCAGGAGTTTCAGCTTTGCAGCTCAACATGTGACTCCTGACATGGAAAGAGAAGCATGCAGGTCATCTATCTGGAGTGTGTAATTCCCCCAGGCAGAAGAGATATCTACCAATCCTTGGACAGGGATTGGCAGGATGGACATGGCTTGAGGCTTACAGGTTTCAAATCCACTACTCTGAAAGCTCTGGGGGAAAAGGGTAAAAGGGGGATGTTCAAGCCAGACAATTGTTAATCATTTCATGGCATTCAAAACAGGAAATCAGAAGTGGTTCTGAAAACGTGCAGAACATTTTGAGGAGTTCAACTTAATGAGTGCTCAACCCTCTCATTCTTAATTCAAGTTCCATCACCTCCTCCAAGAGGAGGAAATTGAGGAATGGTCATGGCCACCTCATCATTCACTCCCTCAATTGGGACCCTGAGGCAGAAAAGGGTGCATGTTCAAACATGATGGACACTGCTAGTAAAGTAGTACATACATATAAATCCAGTCTTGCATGTGTGAGGCACACGTACACTTACAGTGGGATCCATAGTGACATACTGAAAGATTATCCAATTTTGTCAACAAAACATCTTAAACAAAAGACAACAGCAGCAAGTGGAAAATGAGTTTGTGCCATACCTGCTATTCTATGTAGGCACATCTATCTGAATTTGGGGAAAAACTGGGTCTCAGCAAGGGGCAGAGTGCCCTCAGGTGACACAAAAAGGGTGGGGAGAAAAGACAGCAGAAAACATACACAGCACTGTACTTCGGGATGCAGAGCCCAAAAAGCCAGGAAGAAGGGAAAATAATCTGACCCATTATTCTGTCCTTGATAAGGTAGTCTGATTTCTTGGGATTTTCAGATTGCCTTGAAGAATCCACTGTGGGAAAAAATGGATAACATTGAAGTCTTCTCCTCTGGTTTTTTTCGCTTGTTTTGCCGTTGCCAAGCTACGTAGGCAGGAAGAGTAGATCACTCTAGAGAGACTGAGGACGAAATTGTTTCTTTTTTAGGAAGAAATGTAGGTCTAGGAAACATGAGGTATGAGGGAAGGCTGAAAGAATTGGGGTTGTTTAGTTTGGAAAAGAAAAGACTGAGGGGACATGATAGTGGTTTTCAGGTATCTAAAATGATGTCACAGGGAAGACAAGTAGCAATGGGCTTAATCTACAGCAAGGGAGGGTTAGGTTGGACATTAGGGAAACTTCCTAACGGTCATGATGGTTAAACACTGGAATAAATTGCATAGGGAGGTTGTGGAATCTCCATCACTGGAGATATTTAAGAGCAGGTAGACAGACATCTATTAGGGATGATCTACACGGTGCTTGGTCCTGCCATGAGGGCAGGGGACTGGACTTGATCTCTTGAGGTCCCTTTCAATTTTCGTCTTCTATGATTTCCAACTATTTCAATGTGGTCCTTGAATATCTGATACCATGGAGCTTCTCATCCATCTTCTGACTGAAGAATACATGACACTTGGGGAAGATCCTGGATCTGCAGATTAGGGATGTAAAATCCCAGTTAATCAGTTAAGCATTAGGTCAACCTAATATTTAACGGGTTAATCGACTCAAGTGGGATCCGGGCTGGGGATTACTCCAGCCCACAGGGTTCTCACCTCCAACCCCACGCTGAAACTAGGGCTGTCACCAGCTTCTAGCTCTTGTGCCTAGACTCCCCATGGACAGAGGCCGCTCTGAAAGCTGAAGCAGCTCTGTCCTGCGTGTGGGGCACCTGGACAGAGCCACTGTCTGCGACATAACCCATTCTGTCATCTCTCTCAAAAGAGAGGGTCGTAAGAGTCTACTTTAGACTCAGGCCACATCTATACTTACATGGAAGTCTGATTTAGGATATGCAACTCCAGCTACTTGAATAGTACAGCTGGAGTCTATGTACTTTAATTGAAACTTCAGTGCCACCTCCACAATGGGAGGTTGAAGGGAGAAAATGCTCCCATTGATTTCCCTTCCTTCTCACAATTTGAGGAGTAATGGTATTGATGGGGGCAACCTCAGCATTTGTTTTAGTGGGTTTTTACTAGACCAGGTAAATTAAGCTCTGCAGCATCGGGTGCTGTGGCACTGATCATCTGGGAAGAGAAGATGTGGCCTCAGAGAAAGGCCCTTAAGACCACTGTCAACAGAGATGTTGTATCAGAGATATCAAGACAGGATTATTCCAGACTGCAACTGTCAAGAAAACACCAGATGGTTTGATGCTTTATCAGCCTATGGTACCAACCCACTAGAGCAAGGGTGGGTAATTTTTTTTATGGGGGCAGGAGTGCCGATCCAAGAATTTGAAAAGTGGTCAATGGCCACACACTTTCACAATATCAATGTAGGAGGTGAGGGGGTCTGGGTGCAGAAGTCAGCCATGTTCTGTTATAACCATATTGGGTGAGTATAGCTTTCATCTAGAGACAAGCCCTAAGTTAGAAGAAAAATGTAAATGGTACCCAAAGCAAAACTTGCAAACGTGCTTCAAGACTAATTTGGACTTTCCACCACACTTAACGTGTGAACTAAAAGCAAATCTTTATGTTAACAGTTAAAAACACAATACAGATATTATCTTTTTTGGGGGGAGGGGAAAGGGAGCTTTTACCTTCTTGCGCGCTAAACTGCCACCTTAGGCCAGAAAGCGAAGAGCTACTGGAACCACAGGTTTGCACAGATAGGATAGAGAGAGTAGACCTAACAATACTGCCTACGTTCTTGCTTTGTAGAAGCCTTAAATTTGCCCTCAGAGGAGTTAATAAGAACTCTTTACTTCATGAAGATATTTGCTATGGCATTACCATCTTGTTCTCTGCTCTGATTTATCTTTTTCCTGACTAAATATCAGGATCTAGTGAGATTTTCCATTCTAGTTTATTTTTTGGCAGTTCTAGAAACTGTCATTTTTTTAAATACTGTGATGTTTTGATTTGTTATATTAACCTATCTAAAAACCATGTAGCAAACAATGTACTCCCCTCAGAAACAGTAAAACTGCTAGTAGCATAATGCAAAACAAATCAAGATAAACTTGCTACTAAGAAAATAAAGTACTTCATAACTCCATTTACTTTTTCTACATCTGCAAACTGTATGCCAGAATATCTCTATAGTTAGCGAGAATAACTAGCATCTCTATTGCTGACGTTTCCTAAATACTTCAGAGGGGTAGCCAAGTTAGTCTGTAGCAGGAAAAACTTATCTAGTGGCACCTTCAAGGCTAACAAAACATGTAGATGGTATCATGAGCTTTCATGGGTACAACCCACTACTTCATTCCTATCATCTGAAGAAGTGGATTGTGCCCACGAAAGCTCATGATACCATCTACATGTCTGTTAGTCTTTCAGGTGCTACTATTTGTTGTTTTTCAAGCATTTCCTAAATAGGTGTTCTATTAGTGACGACTAACGTTTTACCTTTGTATGACATTTAGGTTATCAGGGCACATGATAAACACATCTTCACTAAATAACGAAAAGAAGAAGGAAAAAGCTCAAGAGCATAAGTGCAATGGCACCTAGTTGCACCTTTTTGTGTATATGAAGTGGAGTCAGGTGTAGAAGTGCAGCAAATAGATGGCAAAGTGCACAACCTGAACAATGGACTGTATAGAAAGAGCAGCATTAAAAAGTGGGTGTCTAAACTTTTAGAAGAGATTAATATTTTCTGCTGTTGATATTTGAGGGGGCAAAGTCTGCTATTTTTCTGTATCTAGAACACTGTACACTGAAGTTATTTATCAACAGCTTTGTATCTGCCTAATACATATGTACAATTAAAAGCAAGCTACTTGTTCCATATGTTTCTCTGAGAATAAGAATCAAGTATGATACTACTTAGACCAAAGGAGGAATGACATTTCTGCATTCTGAATGGCTTTCTGAGAGAAAAGTATGGTGAAGAATGAGACAACTAAATTAAGCCTCTTGATTTGTTCTAATAGTATAATGTATAGATTGGGCAAAGCAATCTAAATTTGGGCACATAACTCTGTGTCTACCAGCATACCCAGGTAATGTAATTCTACATGCACAAGTGGATAATTCTGGGCATTAATATGTCTATCTTATTTGAAAAGCTCACCCACAGATTCCCCTTCTACAGAAAGTTTAATCCACTTAATCAGAATAACTAGTCAAGAGGAATTAAGGTTTGTGGGTCCTGCGCTTGGGTAAGTTTGAGAAAATTGTACTGGGTTTAAATTATATGGTTGTTACTGCAGCAAATTGTAAAGGAGGGTCTCAAGAGCCTCCTGTTGAATTATCTCCATCAAGTTGAAAGAAAGCCTAATGCAACTTCCCTGCTTACAATGCAGTCCAACTCATTTACAGGTGCTGCTAAAAAAAAGACTGCCAGCAGAACTTAATTCACAGGTTCAAATACACATCTGAAGAGAATAAAATATTTTTGGAATGCATCCAATGTCAAGAATTAAAACAAACCCCTCCCTATGAAGGGCACCCCAGAATACTCTAGCCCTGAGGTCCTTCAAACACCATTTCAAACTACATACATAAAAAACTGTACTATACTACCAAGATACTTAAATGGGGGAAAAAAAGAACAAGTTTGTATGTTTCCCAGCTCTTGACCCCTCCTTTCTACAGGCACATGCCTCTTGCACAATGATTTCAAGTCAATATACATTTGTAAGGTAAAAACCCCCCACTTTTTTGGTGATACTTCCACACAAAGTTAATATAACTAGGGAGGAGGAACTGTCCTCTCAGCATACTACTGCTTGAAAACCTGTCATGAGAAACAATATAAAATATCCATTTTTGAAATGCATATCACTATTAGAAATCATGCAAGCAATTAAAAAAGTTAGAGAAGTTACCCAGATGCTCCCCATCCATCTGGCAAAGTTTTCAACAACTCCTAAAATACTCATCATGCTGCAACTAGAACATTCACCATCTATGTAACATTTTATCTTTAACATTAATCATTACCTGGACCTCTGAATTGGAATCAACAGGCTGAAGCAAAAACCACGCTTCTTTGCCAGTATATTTGCATAAGTCTTCTTTTTTGAGTGCTACCTTTCCTACAGAAAATGAGTGTGATAATGTAAGAAATTGACTTTCCCATGGAAGGATGAGATAATACTTTTAATAAGAGACTTCAATTTAAAATCTAATATTTTATAAAAAGTCAAGTTATTTAAGATTGTAAAATAAAAAACAAATTTTAAGTTGTTTCACACAGCAAAGGAGAAAAAGACCCACACAAATAAAGGAAACTATGTACAAAGGAAAAAAGTTGAAAAGAAATATACAAAGAGTTAACTGAAGGAAGAATTCTTTTTTTTTTAATTGGACTACTACCTCAGAATGGACAGGTAACAGTCTTAAGTCAATTAAACTTCTGCCAGAAAACAAGTTAATATTAGGGATGTGAAAGTATAACCATGTAAATGGTTAACTGATGACTCGGGGGGCTCATTCATTAACCTTCATAGTTATATGCAGGCTCATGGTACGCATGGGAAGTGGCGGCACACATCAGCTGCCTTGCATTTAAGCAGTTAATTACATACATTTTAATATCCCTAGTTAATATATCCCTTTAAAATGCTAAACAAAATAACTGTATAATACAACAAAAAAGGTGCTGCAGAAAGTTTAAAAATAGAAAATTAAAAGGTAGATGACTTTTGCATTGATTGCTATTTGAAAAACCATTATACCAAACTATCTGGCATGAAGTATTTCCTTCCTCAGTTCAAGTACAGGCAGTCCCCGGGTTACATGGATCTGACTTACATCGGATCCCTACTTACAAACGGGGTGAAGCAACCCCGCACTAGCTGCTTCCCCCAAGCAGACCAGGGAGATGCGAAGCTAGCGCCCCCCACAGCAGACCAGGGAGACACGGAGCAGCTTTTCTCAGCAGACACCTCAGCTTGAGAATAAAGGACTGAGGGAAGTGAGGTGTGGGAGAATAGAACTGAGCTCTAGAGAAATGTTTGTCTAGAGTTTCCCCTACAATATGTACCAGTTCCGACTTACATACAAATTCAACTTAAGAACAAACCTACAGTCCCTATCTTGTACGTAACTTGGGGAATGCCTGTAATATGAAGTAACTATTTCTACTGAACACTGCTAACTAGAGTTTTTAAAGCAACTATTTATCCAAAGAGTACAGGCAGTCCCTAGGTTACGTTTGTCTAGAGTTTCCCCTACAATATGTACCAGTTCCGACTTACATACAAATTCAACTTAAGAACAAACCTACAGTCCCTATCTTGTACGTAACTTGGGGAATGCCTGTAATATGAAGTAACTATTTCTACTGAACACTGCTAACTAGAGTTTTTAAAGCAACTATTTATCCAAAGAGTACAGGCAGTCCCTAGGTTACGTAACAAGATAGGGACTGTAGGTTTATTCTTAAGTTGAATCTGTATGTAAGTCGGAACTGGTGTCCAGATTCAGCCG